TTGTTAAAACAGATTCTGATTGCACACATAAGTACTCTGAAGTTGACATCAAGAAGATGCTTGAGTTTCTGATTGACAATATCTATGTGTTTTTTTGAGACCAGGTATTCCAACAATCTATTGGAATTCCCATGGGTACAAATTGCGCTCTGTTATTAGCAGACTTATTTTTATATTCATATGAAGCAGAATTTATACAAAATCTTTTACGTGATAAGAAGAAAACACTTGCTGTGGCCTTCAACTCAACATTTAGATATATCGACGACGTATTGTCAATTAATAATGATAATTTCCATTCCTACGTCGACACGATATATCCTGGTGAGCTTGAGATGAGAGATGCCACAGAGTCCGACACTTCTGCTTCGTGCTTGGATATTTTACTTGAAAAGGACTATAGTGGAAATCTAACAACCAATCTATATGATAAACGTGATGACTTTGACTTTTATATCGTCGGCTTCCCTTGCTTGTGCAGCAGTGTACCTTCATCACCTGCATGCGGAGTATTTGTGTCTCAGTTGATTCGATGCGCAAGAGCGTGCTCTACGTGTGAACAATTTATTAAACGAGGTAAATTATTGACAGGCGAGTTGATGAAACAGGGATATCAACAGTCTCGTTTGGGGTCATCATTTCGTAAGTTCTATGGCCCATGCAGTGACTTTGTCGGCAGATGCAGTTTATCATTGAATGTAATGCTGACTGACGTTTTTCATACCAATTGTTAGTCCATTATTTATACACTGAATTGACCACGAATTTTTTCCGTTGTTTCCTGATTATGACAGCGAGCACACGGCGGGTGTGACCGGTCGGCAGGGGATGCTCACTCCTCCATGGCACCTGATCCCACCTCTGATGTTTCGGAGGTCCGTGTTTGCTCTGCTCTTGTTTTGTATATTTGTTTAATGGACGTTGAGATTGAATGCTGTCCGTTATTTCCATATCCTTCATCTAGATTCATGAAAAGATTGGAAAACAAGCAGCATGTTGAACTTTTTAGTATATGTCATGACTATGACTAAGACAAATAATTTGCATTACAGAAAATATGCATTGCAGCATATGTAATGATGCAATTATGATTTAATTTTGATTATATTCTAGTCTCTCATTGGTTGATTTCCAAAAAGGAACACAATAATAAAACGTAATAACCTGGTTTGGTATGGGGACACACCCCCTTGACAATCAGCTGAATCATCTGTATAGATCAATGCAATCCCACATTTCCAGTTCATGGAATTACGTGAAAAATTCTATATTTAAAAATGTACTTTTAACTTCAAACAGTAGCTCGTGCTCTTACCTCGTGTAAACAAACATCATGGCTGCTAGATCTGTGTATCACTTATTACGTCCCCTTGTTTCAAATCACTTCCGTTACTAGGGATGTACTATTGAGCGGCAAAATTGAACTCATAAAAAGCAGCACAATTTCACATCCACAGTTGTTTAATTATTTAAAAATTAAATTATAAGGAATGACTCTAATTCTTGGCCAAATTATTCGATTATAACCTGGTTTGGGTTAGCTTACGCTTTTTTATTATCCGCTTCGCGATTTATAAAGCGTAAACTGACCCAAACCAGGTTATAATCAAATAATTTGGCCAAGAATTAGAGTCATTCCTAAATTAATATTGATTGTACATAAGTTTGTCAACTGTAATAATGTGTTCCAATTTTGCACACATTTGATAATTAGGTATAGATCAATAAGTGTTAGATGTGTTTAGATATTAAAAATTGTAGTCTTATTTCTGATTAGGAATTACCCTGATTTACCTGTATTTATTTATCATGAAAAGGAACAATAAATGTTAATTTCAAATTAATGTTACAGTAAAAAAATTAATGTCATTTAAAACAAGAGGCCCATGGGCTACATCGCTAAACTGAGTAACTTTGGTAATTCATTTCTTTACAAGATTCTCCCTCTTGCTATACCTAGTATACCCCACTACCCCCTTCCCTTTTATGGTTTTAAAACTTTAGAATGTACACAACCCAAGGATGCTTCCACATAATTTTCAGTTTTCCTGGCCCAGTGGTTCTTGAGAAGAAGAGTTTTAAAGATTTGTTCTATATGTCATGCCAGGGGTCATGATTTTATCAATTTAATATGTACACTACCCAATGATACTTCAACATAAGTTTCAGCTTTCCTGGCACAGTGTTTGTTGACAGATATTTAAATATTTGTTCAATATATTTCTATGTAAAACTTGGAATCCCTATTAAATATTTGTTCAATATATTTCTATGTAAAACTTGGAATCCCTATTGTGGTCCCGCCCTACCCCCGGGGATCATGATTTTAATAATTTGATATCTACACAACCCAAGGATGATACCGTATATAAATGATCTTCCTTTATGTGTAAATTACTCTAATATTGATATGTTTGCAGACGATGCAACTCTGCATTTACCTAACAGCAATGTACATACCATTGAAACACATTTAAATTCTGATTTATGTGAAATTGAAAACTGGTGTATACAGAATCAGATGATACTGAACACAGACAAATCAAAATGTATGCTCATGTGTACCCAACAAAAGAGATCACAATTAAAAAACCCAGTACTTTATGCAAAAATTTCTAGCAAAAACTTGGAAAACGTTGACGTTGAAAAACTCCTACGTATTCAGATAGATCAATCTCTTCAGTATAATTGTCATGTTGATACAGTTTGTAAATCATTAAGATACAAGTTATTTACGCTCCGTAAAATTAAGAAATTTCTTCCATTAAGTACAAGAAAACTCTTCTATAATGCATACATTTTGCCTTCAATAAACTATTGTCTTACAGTCTGGGGTAATACGTCCAAATCTAACATCGAGAGAATTCATAAACTTCAAAAACGTGCTGCTAGAATTATTCTTGATGCAGCACCTGACCATCCATCTAAGCCTTTGTTTGAAAAACTAGGATGGTTAAATGATTTTGAGTTAGTTACATTTTATAAATTTATTTTATTGTATAAAACTTTTTGTGGTATGAGCCCAGAATATATCTAGGATCTTTTTATTTTTCACAGTTCCGATTCCTACTCATTGCGTTCAGAATTGAATTATAATCTTCGATTACCAAAGCATCGAACAATCCTATTTAAAAACTCTTTTCAATATTCAGGTGTACATTTATGGAATAATCTACCATTACATGTTAAATTATTACCATCCTTGCCTGTTTTTAGAACCAATTTGGAAAAAGTTATAATCAGCCAACGTCTGTAATTTTCATTATTATAGATGTCCTTGTTATTGTTATTAACTATGTCTTTTAAACTTTGTATATTGACTTATTTATTCTCCTATATTTCCATTAGTTTAATTTGTACATTACATCCGATTATGAAGATATAAAAAAGTTTATCATTGTTCATGTGCTGTGTATATATGTTTGAATGTACAATTTTATGTATATTCCCTTATTATTGTGAACAAAAATGGCATTAAAATGCATAGAAATCATTGAACATTTGCTACATCATGAAATCTTATTCTCACAATCTATTCTACATGTTCAATTTACCTTGATTCACTTTTTTGTGCATACAAATGAAAACAATTTATCCGTAAACAAACAAACAGGAAACATATATCGCCTACTAAAAGTAAAACCTAGACATAGTTCAGAACTGAGGAATCCGTAATTTAGGAATACTACATACAAATTTCACAAGATCACGTTTATTACACTTAAACTAGAAAGTTGCACCAACCTCATTATTATGTATAACTATGATCAAGAAGCAAATCACATTATTACCTACTTAATAATTCTATAAATTCTATCAATCTGCATGATCTCTTCAACTAGGACACATGTAGCGTCTGGCGGGAAATAAGTTCACCGAATACACAACTCATGTACAAATCATGGAATTCTAAAAAATGCATACTTATATTGATTCACATAAATGCACACTAAGTAAAAATTAGCACAAATACATAATACACACCTGGATACTGTAATATAGTTTTTAAAGAACAAAAAGATGAGGCCTGCGGTTCACTTCGACATGAAGGTCGGGCTGCAGCGTGACGTCAGCCTCAGCTCCGAAATATGCTAAAAAAATACTTTCTGATAAAATTGGAAATAATACATTTGCACTAGTCTACATTAGGGTAAGATTACATATCATTATTTACAAGATACAATAAAATGTAAAAAAAAAAAAAAAAGCACTCACTGTAACGATTTATTTTAGATGTATTTGAAGAAGACTTCAAACGATGGAAAAAAGATGATGTGGTTTACAACAAAAGCCACAGTTTCTCTACAATGCTGGATAAAGTCCGAAAGCAACCTTACATGACATTTGTTGGTGTTCCAGGATCTGGAAAATCAGCAACGATTCATCACATAGCCCTGATACTCCAGGAAGAAGGATATGAGGTTGTACCTATTATAGACATCAGGAAGATTGAAGATTATTCTGACTCGCGTCATCCACAAGTTTTTGTCATTGATGATGTGGTAGGTGTTTTAGGTCTGCAAAAACAAAAGTTAGAGTTATTGATAGACTATGAAAAAAGAATTTCAGGTCCTTCCCATAAAAACACAAAGATATTAATGTCATGTAGGGAGGCTGTGTTCAATGAATGTTACAAATCATTTTTCTCAAATGAAAATAATACAATAATGATGCATAGTTCCGAAAATGCATTGAACAATGAAGATAAAAAATCGATCCTTCAGAAACACGGCTTGGATAGAGATTTGTTGTCCCCCTCACTACTGCAAGGAACATTGGGTATCTTTCCTCTGTTGTGTAAACTATATTCCAAAGAGGAGAAATTTAGAAAAAATGTTGAAAGGTTTTTTACATGTCCAGCTAAATGTATTTTAGAAGAATTTTACAAAAAGCAAAGGCAAAACAGTTTGTTCTATGCTGCATTAGTCTTGTGCATGTTAAATGACAATAAACTATCAAAAGAAATATTGAAAAACACAGGAAACATTGTTTTCCGGGAAATGAAATCAAAAGTATTAGAATGTTGTGAAGTTGAATGTAGGACTGATGCATTTAAATTTGAAAAAGCATTGGCAGCTATGGAGGGGACATACACAAAAGTATTTGGTACTGAGTACACCATCATTCATGACTCTGTACTTGAAATCCTTTCATATCATTTTGGTTCTCAGTTTCCAGATCTGGTTTTGCAATATATCAGCAGTAGTTACATTGCTAATAACGTGAAAGTACAAGATTGTAAAGAAAAGTCGGAGGTTGAATGTAAACAAGTTGAAAATGTAGTGTTAAGTGGTGAGGAGCATGAAACATTAAGTATTGAAAGAAGCCAGGATTTGCATGATCTCAGTCTTAGGTTGAGAGAGGAGCAGTATCCAATGTTAGCAGAGCGTTTGTACAGAGATATAGAAAATATGGAACTATATGATGTTTTTATGAATAAGCTTTTAAAACATCCTCAGGTGTGTCAGGCTTTTATTGAGGTGTTAAAGACCAAGTCTTACAATGAGTTAAAATCTTTATTTCTGTCAGAACAGAAGGATGTATCAAAGGTAGTGGGTAAAAAAGAGCATGTGATGAAAGAGAGTGAGAAGAGGGATGAGAGGAGCAGGGAGTGGAGCAGACAGAGTGTGCTGTTGAATGAGAAGGGTTATTATGACGAAAAAACATACAGTGTGAGGGTAATAAGTTGGGTGGTTTACTACGGACACAATCAGATCCTACAATATATTTTGAAACAAACTGAATTACACAAAGAAACAAAGTTTGAAGTATTTTGGAATTCGTTTAGCCCCAAATTAATCTATAAAGCAATAGAGAAAGGAAATATCATTGAAAAAGATAATGAAACAGACAAGTTATCTCTATCAAACTTCATTAGTGATACAGGAAACCAAAAACCATTTGTTTCCGAAGATGACCGCTTATTTCTATTGAGTTGCTACAGTGGAAATTTAGAGGCTGTAAGAATATTAATCAAGTATGTTGATATACAAACAACAAACAAGAAAATCCCACATATGTTTTATGATACACCACTGATAGCAGCATGTGAGGCTGGGCATATGAGTGTAGTGAAGGAGCTTATAGAAGCCGGAGCTGATATCAATCAACGAGGTGAGTGTGTTACACCACTGACAGCAGCATGTAAGGGTGGACATATGAATGTAGTGAAGGAGCTTATAGAAGCTGGAGCTGATATTAATCCTAAAGGTAGGTATAATACACCACTGACAGCGGCATGTAAGGCTGGACATATGAGTATAGTGAAGGCACTTTTAAAAACCGGAGCTGATATCAATCCTAAAAGAAAGTATATTACCCCACTGATAGGAGCATGTGCACATGGAAACATGGGTGTAGTGAAGGAACTTATAGAAGCTGGAGCTGATATTAATCCTGAAGGTATGGTTAAGACACCACTGATAGCTGCATGTGAGAAAGGACATATGAGTGTGGTGAAGGAACTTATAAAAGTCGGAGCTGATATCAATCCTAAAAGAGAGTACCGGAATATTACCCCACTGACAGGAGCATGTGCGCATGGAAACATGGGTGTAGTGAAGGAACTTATAGAAGCTGGAGCTGATATTAATCCTGAAGGTATGTATAATACACCACTGAGAGCAGCATGTGAGAAAGGACATATGAGTGTGGTGAAGGAGCTTTTAGAAGCTGGAGCTGATATCAATCAACAAGATGGAGTTTATACCCCACTGATAGCAGCATGTAAGGGTGGACATCTGATTTTAGTGAAGGAGCTAGTTAAAGCCGGAGCGGACATCAATCAACAAGGTGAGTATAATACACCACTGACAGCAGCATGTGAAGGTGGACATATGAGTGTAGTGAAGGAGCTTATAAAAGCTGGAGCTGATATCAATCAGAAATTTGGAGATGATACACCACTGATAACAGCATATAAAGGTGGACATATAAGTGTAGTGAAAGCGCTTATAGAAGCCGGAGCTGATATCAATCAGCAAAGTAAGAATGACACACCACTGACAGCAGCATGTAAGGGTGGACATATTAATGTAGTGAAGGCGCTTATAGAAGCTGGAGCTGATATCAATCAGCAAAGTAAGAATGACACACCACTGACAGCAGCATGTAAGGGTGGACATATTAATGTAGTGAAGGCGCTTATAGAAGCTGGAGCTGATAACAATCAACAATGTAAGAATTGTACACCACTGATAGTAGCATGTAAGAGTAGACATATGAGTTTAGTGAAGGAACTTATAGAAGCTGGAGCTGATATCAATCAGCAATGTGATGATGTTACACCACTGACAACAGCATGTTGGAGTGGACATTTGAGTATAGTAAAGGCGCTTATAGAAGCCAGAGCTGATATCAATCAGCAAGACGGAGATGATTCACCACTGAGTGCAGCATGTAAGGGTGGACATATAAGTGTATTAAATGGGCTTAGAAAAGCTGGAGCTGATATCACTGAACAAAATATATTAGATTCATCACAGACAGCAGAATATTGGGTTGAACATATGAGTGTAGTTAAGGGGCTTATAGAAGCCGGAGCTGATATCAATCAGGAAAGTGGAGATGATACACCACTGATAGTAGCATGTAAGTTTGGACATATGAATGTAGTGGAGGCGCTTATAGCAGCAAGGGCTGATGTTAATCGTCAAGGTAAGAATGACACACCACTGACAGCTGCATGTAAGTTTGGTCATATGAATGTAGTGAAGGCGCTTATAGAAGCCAGAGCTGATATCCATCAACAAGATAAGAATTACACACCACTGACAGCAGCATGTAGGGGTGGACATGATCATGTAGTGAACGTGCTTATTGAAGCAAACGCTGATATCAATCAACAAAGTAAGAATTATACACCAATGACAGCAGCATGTAAAGATGGTTATTACCCTGTAGTGTTAAAGCTTATACATGCCAGAGCAGATATCAATCAGCAATGTAAGAATTATACACCAATGATAGCAGCATGTAAGGGTGGGCATATGATTACAGTAAACTTTCTTATAAACGCCGGAGCTGATATCAATCAGGAATGTGATGGTGTTACACCGTTGATAGCAGCATGTTGGCGTGGAGATATGTGTTCAGTTAAAAGGCTTATAGAAGCCGGTGCTTGTATCAATCAGCAGGGTAAGAATGATACACCACTGATAGCAGCGGGTAAGTGTGGACATAATAGTGTAGTAAAGGAAGTTATAGAAGCCGGAGCTGATATCAATCAACAAGGTGAGTCTTATACACCATTGATAGCAGCATGTAAGGGTGGGCATATGAGTGTAGTGAAGGAGCCTATAGAAGCAGGAGTTGATATTAATCAGCAAGATAGAGATGATACACCACTGACAGCAGCATGTAGAGGTGGCTATTTCAATGTAGTAAAGGCGATTATAAAAGCCGGAGCTAATATCAATCAACAAGGTATGAATCATGCACCACTGATAGCAGCATGTAAGGGTGGTCATATGAGTGTTGTGAAGGAGCTTTTAGAAGCGGGAGCTGATATCAATCAACAAAAAAAGAACTATACACCACTGATAGCAGCATGTAAAGGTGGTCATATCAATGTAGTAAAGGCGCTTATTGAAGGCGGAGGTGATATCAATCAACAAGGTAAGAATTATACACCATTGATAGCAGCATGTAAGGGTGGTCATATCAATGTAGTAAAGGCGCTTATTGAAGCCGGAGCTGATATCAATCAACAAGGTAAGAATTATACACCACTGATAGCAGCATGTAAGGGTGGTCATATCAATGTAGTAAAGGCGCTTATAAAAGCCAGAGGTGATATCAATCAACAAGGTAAGAATTATACACCACTGATAGCAGCATGTAAGGGTGGGCATATCAATGTAGTAAAGGTGCTTATAGAAGCCGGAGTTGATCTCAATCAACAAGGTAGGAATGATACACCACTGATAACTGCATGCTGTGATGGACATTTGAGTATAGTGAAAATGCTAATAGAAGCCGGAGCTGATATCAATCAAAAAAAGAAGAATCACACAGCCCTGTCAGCAGCACGTGAGCGTGGACATGTGAGTGTAATGATGGCGCTAATAAAAGCTGGATCTAATATTTATCAACATGGTGAGGTGCTACACCACTCAACGCAGCATAAAGAGATAAACACATGAGTGTAGTCAACGAGATTATAGAAGCCAGACCAAATATCAATTAACAAGGTAGGTACTATAATCACTGACAGCAGCATGGAAGGATAGATATATGGATTCGGTGAATGAATGAACAGGAGCAGGAGCTCAATGAATGAAGTGAAGTGGGGATATGAGAAGAAGCTAATTGTGCAGGCTGATACAAAACAGCAAGTTAAATCAGATACATACATTATTAATAGTAGAGGGTAAGGTAGAATTAAATGAAGGAATTACTTCAGATTCAAACCACGGAAAAAATGTACGATCCTCTCCTACTGCGGACCGTAGCTTGAGACGATGGGGTTCATCTATCTGAGTGTCATGTCCAATGCATATTCGGTACGAACCAAAAGAAGTATATAATTTCCGGTACCAAAGCTTAATACGAGAATTAAACATTGATTTTGTGCTTTTATTTTACTGTCTCTCAAATTACACATCATTTGCAGGCCCATGAAAAGCAATTTCAGTTGGAGGGGGGGGGGGGGTGTACAGCCATACATTTTCTGGCCATGCATTGTAGAATTTGTTAACGATGGGGTAACCTGTGTTACCTTTCAGAGTCTGCAGTGGACTCGTCTAAGGATGCTTTGTCGGCGACTGTAAAAAGTTACTCGAGATTCATACGCAAAGGAAAGTGTGAAATCTCTGTATAGAAACTGTTGCGGCTGCGACGCTTCACTCATTGCTCATTCGCCATAGAAAATAATCTGCTATTTAACACTTATATCTTTGAATATACAGACGTTTTCATGATAAGCTTCATATTTGTTTCAAGAAATATTTTTATATACAAAAATAATATATTTTTGTAATTTTAAACTGAGTAATTCGATGACCTAGCATCGTTTTAGATAACTCAAGCCCCTCTAGGGCTTGAGTAAAAATTGTTTAGATGAAAAATGAGTGATGTGAAAAAGAGAATCTCGAGAAGGTGATGATGTTGAGGATCTAGTTATGTAGTCTGCTAGAGATAGAGGGCTTTCTGTTCCAGAGATGACATGACTGATGAAAACAAACAATGATTGGTTTAAAAGGAATTATAAAGGGTCTGAGCGGAAGAATTAAAGAGCTCCATATAGAATACTGTATCAATATTAACCTGAAATAAAAGTATATGTCCAGGCATAATTTGCAGTGTTCTTAAAGCTTTTGTTTGTAAATTACATATGTAATATTTGAAGAGAGGATAATTGATAAAATAATTATTTTCACTGAGCACATAAGCATTGATGCATTTAGTTTGCAGTTAGCTTGGTGTTATTTACTAGAGGACCTTTGTATTACTTGCTTGTAATGTGTCTTATTATTTTTATTTGTTACATTGTATTATGTATAAGCATTAAAATTTACATTGCTTTAGAAAAGGGTTGTTTTGATCGGCCTGAATTCGCTGTGCGTCATTATTAATTGCCTAGTTGTTCTTTTCATCATACAAAAATCATGTAACTTTTGCTCATTGGCATATTGCACTCTCATTCTGAAATCATTCAGCAAATGTAAAATAATTTCAATCACAAATGTTATTAATACAACTGTAACATCATTTATAGATTTGTTTTGATGGGAAAATTCCATTCTTTACAAATTATTTTTTTGCCTGGTTATCCTTGACATTCATTCAGATATTTAAGGATTCATTATTTTCTCTTTACCTTTTTTTCAATTCTGATTGTAATGTGCGATTTGTTTTGGTTAAAAAGAAATAGGTTTCGAGTAAGGGATGCAACAGAGTTTTGTTATGATTATTTAAACTTTATCTATACATTTTTCTGTAGTCGCTGGTTGCCTCTCAAGGTTTTTTCTTGGAGTGTTGTTTATCAAAATATTATTATGATGTATTATATTTTATGTATTTGTTAAATATAAACAAAAATAATTCTTTCAAAGGAATAAAAGCAGATTTTTAAAATGAATCTTTTAAGAGTTTGTAAATTTATTATTCTTTTTGTATATTTTTTTAATTCCATTACGAAGATGCGTCTCATTTATTTTACTTTAAGGTACATTGTTTTCGGTCATTCTTTTTTCTTATTGGAACTTGAACCGGCCATTGTACGAGGGACGTGAAATAAATAATGTCATCGGAGCTTTGAAAGAAGCAAAAGACGCTTTTCAATGTATAAGTCTTTATGTTTTTACTTATATGAGACATAGACTTGAATCATCTAGTGTTCTTCAACTTTTGTCGAAATGTTTTGATAATGCTATATATTACCTCATGGTAACAATATGTTGAATATTTTTACACAATTTGTAATAGATTGGACTATTGCATAATTTCAAGTAATATTAATTTAATTTGCCCCTTAATTTGATTTTATTCTTATCTTCAGTAAATAAAAAAACTTAATGAATTGTGCAGCTTCTTGATTTGTTTTATTTGGGATTTTTAGCTCACCCCAGCCGAAGCTCGGTTGATTTTTTTCTGATCACATTTTGTCCGTTATCCGTTTGTAAACGTTTTACTTTTCGACTTCTTCCCAAACACCACTGGGCCATTTTACCAAAGTTGGTACAGAGCATCCTTGGGTGAAAGAAAATTAAAATTGTTAAAATGAAGGAACAAAGCCCCTACAAGGGGAGATAAATTGTTCAAATCATGACCCCCAGGGGTTGGGCAGGGTTACATTAGGGAATCAAAGTTTTACATAGAAATATAGGGAAGAATCTCCTAAAGAACCACTAGGCCAGAAAAACTGAAACTTTTGTGGAAGCATCCTTGGGTAGTGTAGATTTTATATTATTCAAATCATGACCCGAGGGGTTAGAGCGGGCCACGATTGGGAATCCAGTTTTACATCGAACTATGTAGGGAAAAACTGTAAAAATCTTCTCAAGAACCACCGGCCAGAAAAGCTGAAACGTGAGTGGAAGCATCTTTCAGAACTGTAGATTCTAAATTGCTCCGATCTTGACCCCTGAGGTATGGGTCAAAAGAGTTCAAGTCAAAAAGTACAAAAATTGGCCTGATTGCAAAATTGGACAATTTTGCCTCTGGATATATCTACAGTCTATTTTGTTTTCAAACCAACTTTCTTTTTTCAATATCTCTTACATATTTCCTGTAAGAGGTCTTCCAAATAGCTTATGTATATGGATAAATTTCATACGTTTTAAGGAACGTCATAATGACGTTTTAAATCTTGACACTTCTAAGTTCTCATAAATAAAGTGATCAATATTTATTAATTGAGTAGTTCAAAATAATATATATTATAATATATTACAGATAGTACTTCAATAGTTTCCGAATGAAAGATATATAACTTTGAAACTATAACATCAGATTTAAGCAAACTTATGTACGTGTACATGTGAAAAAGACAGCGTTTCCGTTGAGCTTGTGAAAATCTAGTTACACGTAAACAATTAAATAAGGACTAGTTAATGTTTTGTAATATTAATTTAATCAACAATTAACACGAACTTTATGAATTAAATATATTAATCAACCTGTATAAAGCCTTAAGATGAATAAAACCTAAAAATGATAGCATTGTTTTAGTTACGGTTAACACACAGGTATGTACAAGCATTTACATGTACACTTTCACTTTGCCAGAAAGATGCGTCCATGATGGTTTGAAGAAAGTGAACTCAACCAGCAGTTTTTATTGATTGGTATAAGCTTATAATTTTCATAGTAAATAATTATAAACACACGCAGTTCATTATGATTTGATCATATTCTCCAATGAAATATAAACTATACATATCACCGGAAACTATCATTTGCCATTGGAAAACAAAGATTATCTGATAAAAACAGTTTCACGATTTGTAAACTATGGTTTACAACTCTTAATTATAGTTAACGATCGTAAATAATAGTTTACAGGCGAAAATCTATGATTCTCAACAAAATCTATCATCACCTTTATTATTACAGACAGATGTACTAAGATTAGTATTCGTAAACTATAGTTAACAACCGTTGAAAATAGAATTATTGTTGAAAGCTGTTGTAAATGAATTCTGAACTATTGTTCACGGTTTGTAAACTATAGTTTACAGTCCATAAACCTAGTTAATCAATTGTGAAGGTACAAAATAAAGATACATAGTGAAACTATCTTACTGACATAACGATACTATAAAGAATATGTATTTTATTCATAATTCTGCTTAATAATAAGTATTTGACTTGATATCGATAAAATAATTTAAACATTGAACGCATTGTTAGAAAAAGCGATTCATAGCAATTAATAACTTGCCAGTATAATGTATTCGTCGATGGTTGACAATTAGTATCTGTCAATATGATCACCATTGACAAATTGTTTGGACACTGGGTAATTTGTAAAGCATTAAAATTTTATCTTAGCTGACACTGTATCCATGCCCCTTTAAGTATTAAATTATGATGTTCCATCTTAAGTTTTTATTTCAGAAATCAAACCAAACGTGAAATCCAGGAAGAAAAATGTTTGACAATAAAAGCAGATTGTTTTTATACGTTAGATTGTTAATGAAACATACTGGTAATATTGATGTGATTGTTATTGTATACACATCGGAGAAGAAAAAGGCTGTTAGGCTGAATGATGCTAGAAACTGTGTGGAAGCAAAATTATCAGAAATGTATAAAACGAAAGAGGAACTATGGTGGCATTTTTCTGCCATTTGTGTGCAAGTTATTTTTCTATCAAACATGTCGACTTAGACATAGATAGATATGTTGACATGCAAGGTAGCTATGCCAACATGCAACATAAATATGTTGACATACAAGAAAATTGCAATCAAATAGAAATGACACAAAATCTTTAAAAATCTCAAATATTTACGGAAACGTATAACCACCTCGTGTTGGTGTTTTAGAAAACGATTTGATGATATAAAAATGTTGCCAAGGACAATTAATTCAGGGTTTTGCGATTTAATTATGACAACAATCTCTGATGAATAATACTTTTCTGACATGTTTTAAACGACTTATAAACTTTGATATATTCAAGTTGAATTCTTAAATG